ATAAAAAATAAACTTGCAGATGTTTAGTTCAGAAAAGACACTGGGCTACTTACCACTAGGGATAATCATCATTTACTGTAAGTTTGGATTTTATCATGCCTTTATGCAAAGAAGATGAAGCTGCTCTCTTTTCAGGAGGAAAAAACCAAATGAGTAGTTGAAATTGATTCTAATGGAAAGGAATGGAAGAGAAAGTCAGATTCCAAAGCTTACGATGAGACAATGGTCACCAGGAGACCATACTGATGGCCTAAGAATATACATTCTACTTTCACACCCAGTTGAAATATCTACTTTCCTGGAACATAGGTGAAAGGACTTTTAAGTCAACAAAACAATACTATACAGGAAAGGATAAACTTTCTAGTAACCTTTGTCTTCCTTTTCAAGATAAGGAAATGCTTGATTGCCCATACTTCTCTTATGCAATCCAAAAAGCTACAGGCTGACTTTTCTCTCTCTGTGTGTGTGTGTTTTCTTTGAAAAAGACCTGTTTGTGGTACCTGCCTCCAGACTCTGGTCTATAGAAATATTAACCTCTTTAACTGGAAATTCTGGTAGTTGACTATAAGACCTCCCAAACAGGCCAAATGATTATTTTAGGTCAGGGATCCATAACCTTTTGGTGCTTAAGGGCATATCTGGAATTTAGAGAACCTTTGGGGAAAAAAACCTGCTGGGGAGGATGTATCATTCAGGAGAAGCTAACTATCAGGACATAGGTCTATGGAGATTGTCAGTAATTCAGGTCATAGTTATCTCAAAGATGCTCCCCCCCACACACACACAAAAGCCAACAGGACTGATTTTTGAGGACGAAGATGAAGATGTTTGCCTCTCATCCAAGAATTTCATCAGTTGTGACTTGATGGGGATGATGCATATATCTATCCTATCCCCCTAACCACCAGTCACAAATGATGAAGCTTCTTGGATGAGAAGTGAAGCGTCTTCCTCAAAAAACAATCCAGTTGCCTTTTTTGAGGGGGGGGGGAGTACCTTTGGGACATTGGTACATAACTATTTACAAAATGCCTGCTACCTGAATCACCTCATAAGATGCCTAGCTTTATTCTTTTTGTGAGTAAATGGGCATATTTCTGAACAAAGCACTTTTATATCTCTAAAAAAAAGGTTACAAGAGCCATGTGGTGCTCAGGGGCATATTTTGAAAAGAAGATGATGCTGGAAACCAGGAGTTTATTTTGCAGCATATGAGCTTCACCTGTTAAAAGAATTATTAAAGAATGTATTTTTTTAGGCAGAGCAGAGAGTTTCTAGATGATGTGTTGAGGACCTTATATTTAGATTGTGAATTAGAAAAAAAAAATTATAAGTTAATATTGCAATCCCCACCTGACAGAAATTTATAACCTTCTAGGAGTTCAGCTGAGAAGCAGATGGACAGGGGACATAAGAATAGCAGTACTGTGCATAAATCAGGCAATCTGTGCATAAATCAGACAATCTGTTATAATCATTTATCTTTGATAATGTGCAGTGGTGGTTGCAACAGTGATCCTGTTGCAACCGGTATGATGGAACATGGTCCGGCATTCACCACATGAATGTGCGCAGCACATGCGTGCGTACTTACCACCTGTGATGCTCTGCGATGCTTCCATGACGCCTCCGTGACACTCCAGCTGCTCGGCGGAGTGTCGCGCAGGAGCTGTACATGACTAAGGTGACCAGATGTCCCGATTTTGGCAGGACAGTCATGATTTATAAGAATTTGTCCCGTGTCCTGGGGCGTTTTTAAAAAGTCCCGACTTTCTGGCTTCATGTTAAAAGCCCAGTGGATTTGCTTAAGAAATCCTAATCGGGGCAAGACAAAAGACACTCTGTCTAACCTCTCTCTCTGTCTCCGTACTTTAATTGAAGATAAAATGTAAAAGCAAGAAAACGGACCCCCCCCCGCCCATTTTACTTACTTTTATAAAAAAAGATGACCCAGTACCATAGAGCTCCAGGAAATACTTGGCTAGAGAAGTAGCGAGTGTTCCTTCTTGGATTTCCCGGAGGGGAGGGGCACGGAGGTTGGAGGTCGGCTCGTGTGGGAAAAATGGTGAAATTTTTTTTTTGAAAAATATTTCCCTGGGAGACTAATTTCACCATTTTAATTT